CAGCAGAACTGATTTGACATTGGAGTTCAATATTTTTCAGCTGCAGACAGCAGAAAACTGATTTGACATTGGAGTTCAATATTTTTCAGCTGCAGACAGCAGAACTGATTTGACATTGGAGTTCAATATTTTTCAGCTGCAGACAGCAGAAAAAACTGATTTGACATTGGAGTTCAATATTTTTCAGCTGCAGACAGCAGAACTGATTTGACATTGGAGTTCAATATTTTTCAGCTGCAGACAGCAGAACTGATTTGACATTGGAGTTCAATATTTTTCAGCTGCAGACAGCAGAACTGATTTGACATTGGAGTTCAATATTTTTCAGCTGCAGACAGCAGAACTGATTTGACATTGGAGTTCAATATTTTTCAGCTGCAGACAGCAGAACTGATTTGACATTAGAGTTCAATATTTTTCAGCTGCAGACAGCAGAACTGATTTGACATTGGAGTTCAATATTTTTCAGCTGCAGACAGCAGAACTGATTTGACATTGGAGTTCAATATTTTTCAGCTGCAGACAGCAGAACTGATTTGACATTGGAGGTCAATATTTTTCAGCTGCAGACAGCAGAACTGATTTGACATTGGGGTTCAATTTTTAAAGCTTTGATTTCTACAAATTTCCTAGTGCTATGAAAACTTCTTACATTTTGTGTTCATATTTTAATATCTTTATCAGTTTTCCCCATCTGTATCTACATTATCACCCAGACAGGTGTATGCACATTTTGGAGCTGGAAATCACCAAGAGAAATGAAACTACTGTTTGCATGTTTTTTTTTTCTCTCATTGTCTTTGTCTTTCCTTTATAAATTTTTAGACCTTTTTGTTGTGGGCTCGCATCAGGTATGTTTAATGTATCGTGCATCTGATTTCATTTAGGGTGATAGAAGAGAAATATCATCCGCAAAGTCCAGATCCTCCAGTTGTTTTATAGGGGTTGACTGAATTTCATTCCTGATGGTGGCCTGTAAAAAAATTAGTAGAGGTGGCAAAAGACATCCCTGTTGCACACCTTTTTTATTATTATTTTAACTTCATATGGGTCTGTTAAGTTTTCCCTTTTGAAGAACTCAACATTTCATGTCTTTATATGTTGCCTTTATTAGTAATTTTCTGTGGAATCCCATAATGTTAAAACTTATGTTTCCAGAGAGATTTCCTTTCAATGCTGTCAAGGGCTTTTTCATAGTCTAAGAATCCAGCATAAAGAGTTTATAATTTAACTCAGTACTTTGCTCTATTATTGGACAGTTTCAGAAGATATCCTTCTCTCCATTCTGCTATCTCTTAAGTCTCCCAGACTTTACTAAATAATTTGTTTAGCAATGCTCTAGACATGTTTATACAAATCTTTAGCATCACTTTTTTTATTTATGTAAGATGGTGTTGTAGTTGAAGAGGAAGACGAAGGACAAAAACCTCACAAACAGCCTCCGGCAGCAGAAGATCAAGAAGGAGCCTTTGATGATGAAGACGAGGAGGATGAAGATGCTTTGGTAAGTGTTTTTGTGTGTGTCGGTAGCATGTGATTACTGGAGTGTTTTGGGAAATGCCATTCTGGTCTCAAGACTCGGTGAAGGGAAAACCCTAACTCACCTCCATGCGGTAGAGGACGGTAAACACACTGCGGTGTGGCCAACGCAGCTATTAGGACCGAGTATCCGCCCGGATAAGTGGACACATCTGGGGTGCCCTCTGCTGTTAGCAGGAGCATCACAGAGCAGGGCACTCACTTGCCCTAGCAATCGAAAAGGTTGCTGAAGGCTGAGGACATGGTCTAAAGCCATGTGGATGTGGAAAGCAACGGGAAACTACCACATTACTATCCCAAGAAACTCATTACGGATGTGAGTCGTGGACTATCTCTCAGTCCTTAACCCACTGACTACCAAGCCCATTAACCCTTGCATTTCCTCAGATACCACGTATTTTAGTGTTTACTAAAAATGCCATAGCTTCACAACTATTTGATATAATCTCACAATATTTTGTATTTTTGCACCAAACTGAATGAAGAACAGATTTCAAGAAAAAAAAGTTGTTTATTTTGTTTTGCATCATCATCATGTGGCTGTAGATTGGTGCAAAAAAGGCAACCGGAAAATCTTTTATCTGACAACAATAAAGACAAATAAAAATGTCTTATTTTCAAAAAATATTTAACAAAAATGTATAATATTTTGTATTTTTGCACAAAATTAAACCAAGAACACATTTAAAGAAAAAAAACAATAAGGTTTACTCTGACATAGTCATCATCATCATGTGGCTGTAGATTGTTGCAAAAAAGGCAACTGAAAATCATTTATCTGACAACAATAAAGACTGATAATGATGATTTTTTTCCACAAATTTTCAACAAACATATATAATATTTTGTATTTTTGCACAAAATTGAACCGAGAACAATGTGAAGACAAAAAATGGGGTTTACTTTGTCTGACATAATCATCATCATCATGTGGCTGCAGATTGTTGCAAAAAAGGCGACTGAAAAATCCTTTGTCTGACAATAATTCAGACTCCCAAAAAATGTCACAGCTTCACAACTGTTCAGTATCACTTATCCTATCTGATATTGTTTGCACAAAATTAAATAGATAACAAATATCAAGACAAATGTAGATTTACTGTTTTATATCATCATCATGTGGCTGTAGATATGGTGCAAAAAAGGCAACTGAAAAATCCTTTGTCTGACAATAATTCAGACTCCCAAAAAATGTCACAGCTTCACAACTGTTCAATATCACTTATCCTATCTGATATTGTTTGCACAAAATTAAATAGATAACAAATATCAAGACAAATGTAGATTTACTTTTTTATATCATCATCATGTGGCTGTAGATATGGTGCTAAAAAGGCAACAGAAAAATATGTTATCTGTCAACAATATATAGAAAAGGCCCCCGTGACATGATGGTGGCAGCAAATGATGAGTGGAGAGATGGATATAAACTCTGGTAGTCTGAAATAGCTTTTTCACAACACATGTGACGCAACAGTACAAGAAACCCTGTCACTTCATTAGGGGTTGTGTGTTTCCAGTTCCAGCACTAATCTTTGTCTCAGCATAACAGTTTGTTTCTTTAGCAAACACAGCAAGTATGTCTTTACTGAAGAAAATATCCAGTGGTTCATTTGTTCCTTCTGGCAGAAATAAAACAGAAGTGCCAGTAAATGGGGGTACTCCAGGAAAGCCTTCTAAATCACAATGCCAGTCATCAACCATTTGGGGGCGTGGCACATCTTCTCCGGACTCGTTAGATGATGATGATTCTGAATCAAAAGCGGCAATGATATTTTCGTCATGTGCAGACTCAAGCACAAAATCTTTATAGTCTGTGGGCTTTGACTGAATACTCTTACAAGAACTATCAGCATCATAAACTGCAGCACCAGTACTTGCAGCCGACAACACTGTGACTGTCTTTGTCAGACTTGACTTCGAAGCGTCATACTCAGATACTGTCGTTTTACAGTCGACGATGTTTTGAATGGCACTTCGTTAAATTTATTATAGTCATAGCCATCAAACAGTTCAGAAGTGTCTTCAAATGCACTTTTTGGAGCAAAATCAAGAAAATCGAATGCATCATTAGAAAAATTAGGAGAGATATGGCCACCACAATGGTTCCGATAATTTGACGCCATGATGAATTTTTCGTCAATGTCTCACCGTCATGGGAGCTAACTAAAAAAATTCTTAAAATATTTACTTCAAGCACTACAGAGTTATTTCCCTTAATTAACCGTACAGAAATGAATAAGCTAGAGGTTTCAACTAAATCCATCATAAAAATCGCGATTTTAACATGACGGCGAGCGTCCAAAGCTAAAATTGCAAAGGGTGTGACGTTGGCAGATGGAAGTAAACGTCGCCTCGTTGCATTACGTGCGATGTTGGTAGTCAGTGGGTTAAGAGAGAGAATAGGGGCTTTTGAGCTGAAATGCTATAGAAAGATTCTTAGAATATCTTGGACAAAGAAGATGAGAAATGTTGACATCTTAAAAGATCTGAACATCAAGGAAGATTGGCTAATAAACAGCATCCTTTCTCAAAAGCTGAAATATTTTGGTCATATCAAGCGCCACGACGGATTAGAAAAAAATTATAGCAGAAGGCATGGTACCAGGAGGGGCAGGGGCGACCGACACGAAGATGGGTACAGGATATAAGTGACTCCTTGAGTGTGAAAGTTCATGAGGCGGGAGAACTGGCAAGAGACCTTGTTTCTTACAGGCAGACTGTGATGAGAGCGATGTTCTGCAAAGGACCTGCTACATGATGATGATGATGAGCATGTGATTACTTCTATCCTTTCCTGGGAAGAAAAGGTGGCGAGTGTGATGGTGAACCAGTGCAGACTGCTCTATAAAAAATATCAGTCCAGCATCATACGCCCTCGTGGCATTAAAAGGGTTCTCAACTGGCTTTCTTTTTCCACTTGGTGACTAATTGTTTATAGGTCTGCATGTATATTATCTCTTCACTGCAATCTTGGTCTGCCTTTTTGTCTGCTCCCATTTAATTATATAATTGAATTGTTGGAATAGATTTATAATGCACACTGAGTGCATTACTTGTAAATAAAATAATTTTCTTGGTTCGTAATGTTGCAAGACTACAAAAGATAGCTGCAATTCACGCACAATGTTGCACTTTACAGTAGCAAATACAGAACATTTCGAAATGCTAACATTCAAACTAAACAAAGGCAGAGTAGTTTATGCATGACCATCTCCGAAACCCTAACCAGGAGCCATTTTTATGTTCACAGTTAGTAAAGATAGGCTGTTTTCATGTCAAGGCCAGAATCATGTTGTCTAGTCCTGTCAGTAAAGAAAAACTTACCTCTTGAAGTAAAAGGAGACTCTTCTTCTTTCACAGACGTTTCACTAATTTTTATATTGTCTAATTTCACTATTATAACAATGTCTTTAATGTATTTTTGTAACAGCATTGATCTCTCATTTTTTCCTCTGCAGGCGGATGACGAGTTTGAACATCTTCATGATGATGAGGAGTTTGAGAACTTTGACAGAGAAAAAGATTCCCCCAAGACCAAGACTCCAGACAAATTGCCAGACTTACAGATGGCAAAGGTGTGGAAGAGAATCATTAAACAATTATGTTGTCATCCAGACAGCTTCTGAATTGTCTACTTTTAAACTGGAGGTGGTGATCTGGTAATCTTAGTTTCAGCTTCATAGCAAACGGGTCACCCCATAGCTGCTCCGCTCCTGTGCCAACGAAAAACACACAGAATGTTTATCACAAACCCTTGTGGAAAGATTGATAGACTGCTGTCACAGCATATCTAGCATACATGTGCATTAAAAGCCTACGGTAGCCATCCTAAGTGTTAACACAAACAGTTCAACATTAGAAATGCAGTTCATCATGGTTGGTAGCAGAAGTCACCAACAGATCATCAGTTGCACACGCGATCAATTTTAATCACATAATGAATGGCACCATCAACATTGCAACAACAGGGATCGCACCATTTTCTGAATTTACAAGTTAACACAACCACATTGGTCACAGTCAAAAAACATTCTAAATGAAATCCTCAGCTCACAGTGTCACACCATGCACTCAACTTAGAAGCTGGGCGACGAAACTATATCCTTTCAGTCTACAAATGGAGCAAAAATGCAACAGCCACCGTCTGACAGAAGCAAAAAATTTGCCACGGCTCAAAACATTGGCTGTACCTAGCATCCATTTAGCATCCCAGCGTCAGGTGGGGATAAGAATCATATAAGAGGGGCAGTCAATAGAAGACTCAATTTCAAATCCAGCTGTGACTTGCTGCAACCCATTGCCGGTGTTTGAAACCGGATGGTTCCCGGCGTTCACACAGCCTCTGGGAAATGGGTACCAGAGTTAACACTAAAGGGTAAATAGTGGAACATCGCTGTAGCTACAGAGTCCGTACTGTTGGTGGAGCACTTATGGTTTTATAACCGTATGCTGTGGTGCTGGTTCACATCTCCCGACTTTACCTTTTTATAAGAATCATATTAAATTCGGCGGTCATCCAGGCAGCTTCTGAGTTATCTACTTTACTTATAACTAGAGGTGGGCATAAGAATTGTATAAATTTTCTGTTTTTATCAAGACAGCTTCTGAATTGTCTACTTTATTTGTAACTGGAGGTGGGCATAAAAAGTGTATACATTTTCTGTTTTTATCAAGGCAGCTTCTGATTTGTCTACTTTATTTGTAACTGGAGGTGGGCATAAAAAGTGTATACATTTTCTGTTTTTATCAAGGCAGCTTCTGATTTGTCTACTTTATTTATAACTGGAGGTGGGCATAAGAATTGCATAAATTTTCTGTTTTTATCCAGGCAGCTTCTGAACTGTCTACTTTATTTGTAACTGGAGGTAGGGGTGAGTCAAGTTAAGTAGTGACTTTTGGAAACAGTTGATTAGTTGTATCCAAATCAAAATAGGCAAGGTTAAGATATTTCTTCTGCAGTAGCCCTAAACAGGGCATCTGATTTAAGAAAACTCTTAATTGGTCATCTTTATTTACAAGCTTTTTAAAGGGTTAAAGTAAAGGATTTTTTTTTCTACACCTTCAGGCTTGTTAGGCATATAGGGCCAGAACTATATTTTATTGACCAATTGGCACTCTTAGGGTGATGTGGTCAGCATCACTTTGACCACTTTTACTTCCCACCACTTTACATGCTATCCGTTTAAGGTTGGGTGGACCTGGAAACCAAGGTCATTAAAAAAAAAAGTGTGGCTCTGTTTGGATCTTCTGGATCCACCGGCAAACGTCTAGCCATTACACTGTGGCAGCTCCCATTTGTTAAGGGGTCTAGGGTCTGTTGATTTCTGTTCCCCAAACTGGGAACCTGGAACCACACAAGGAAGGCTAAGATATGAATTGTGTAACTCGCTTCAAAGTGCCTCGCCTGGGAGCCTGGAACCACACAAGTAAGGCTAAGATATTAATTGTGTAACTTGCCTTCAAAGTGCCTCGCCTGGGAGCCTGGAACCACACAAGGAAGGCTAAGATATGATTTGTGTAACTCGTCTTCAAAGTGCCTCACCTGGGAGCCTGGAACCACACTAGGAAGGCTAAGATATGAATTGTGTAACTCGTCTTCAAAGTGCCTCACCTGGGAGCCTAGAACCACACAAGGAAGGCTAAGATATGATTTGTGTAACTCGTCTTCAAAGTGCCTCACCTGGGAGCCTGGAACCACACAAGGAAGGCTAAGATATTTGTGTAACTCGTCTTCAAAGTGCCTCACCTGGGAGCCTAGAACCACACAAGGAAGGCTAAGATATGATTTATGTAACTCGTCTTCAAAGTGCCTCACCTGGGAGCCTGGAACCACACTAGGAAGGCTAAGATATGATTTATGTAACTCGTCTTCAAAGTGCCTCACCTGGGAGCCTGGAACCACACTAGAAAGGCTAAGATATGATTTGTGTAACTCGTCTTCAAAGTGCCTCGCCTGGGAGCCTGGAACCACACAAGGAAGGCTAAGATAAGATTTGTGTAACTCGTCTTCAAAGTGCCTCACCTGGGAGCCTGGAACCACACAAGGAAGGCTAAGATATGAATTGTGTAACTCGTCTTCAAAGTGCCTCACCTGGGAGCCTGGAACCACACTAGGAAGGCTAAGATATGAATTGTGTAACTCGTCTTCAAAGTGCCTCACCTGGGAGCCTAGAACCACACAAGGAAGGCTAAGATATGATTTGTGTAACTCGTCTTCAAAGTGCCTCACCTGAGAGCCTGGAACCACACAAGGAAGGCTAAGATATTTGTGTAACTCGTCTTCAAAGTGCCTCACCTGGGAGCCTGGAACCACACTAGAAAGGCTAAGATATGATTTGTGTAACGTCTTCAAAGTGCCTCGCCTGGGAGCCTGGAACCACACAAGGAAGGCTAAGATAAGATTTGTGTAACTCGTCTTCAAAGTGCCTCACCTGGGAGCCTGGAACCACACAAGGAAGGCTAAGATATGAATTGTGTAACTCGTCTTCAAAGTACCTCACCTGGGAGCCTGGGACCACACTAGGAAGGCTAAGATATGAATTGTGTAACTCGTCTTCAAAGTGCCTCACCTGGAAGCCTGGAACCACACTAGAAAGGCTAAGATATGAATTGTGTAACTCGTCTTCAAAGTGCCTCACCTGGAAGCCTGGAACCACACTAGAAAGGCTAAGATATGAATTGTGTAACTCGTCTTCAAAGTGCCTCACCTGGGAGCCTGGAACCACACAAGGAAGGCTAAGATATAAATTGTGTAACTTGTCTTCAAAGCGCCTACAGACCATGAGCATGCATGCAAGAAATTTGAACCCTGACCTCAGATGATGCCCTGTTAGTTGATGTAAGTTAAGTATGGTTGTTTAAAGATTGTAAAATGAGATTTCAATATTTGACAGGTACCACTTCACTTAAGAACAAGCTGGGACAGCTTCTACCTTGAGATTTTAATGATTGCTGGCCTGACTGTATATTTCCTCAACTTTTTGGCGGGAAAATCCAAGAATTGCAAGCTGGCAACAGCCTGGTTATCAGCTCATAAAGAACTGCTGGAATCACAATTTAGTATCGTTGGTATGTTGAAAGTCCATTCTCCCAAGTTTTTTTTAGTACATTAGTGGATTGAAAATAGTATTGAACTGCTAATATGTATACAGAAAAAATAAACAAGTAAGGTTATGACAGATATGAGGACATTCATTGTTAATATTTAGATTTAAACAGATAAAAATTTTTTTTTATACCAGTGGCTGCAAGTGTGTATATTGGTGGTGGCTGCAGGTGCATGTATTGTATGTGTGCGAATGCTAAAAACATATGGGTCATAAACAAGTAGGAATTCCCAAAAACAATCCTTTTAAAAATAACCATATTACACTAGTCATAAATAAATGTTTATAGAAATTTATTTATCTACTTTTTAAAAGTTTTGTTTTAAATATATAAAAAGGGGTCATCAGTAAACATGAGCAGAGTGAAGCATTAAATGAAATACATTCTCCTGGGCCTGATAACATGTATCGGGTGCTTATTCCATAACAAGTTGACCTCTATCACTATATCACTGAGGCTTATGGGAAAATTTGACATCAACTTGGCTTTGTTCCTGGACTTGAGTTTTGTAGCAGCTCTGTTATTTGTGCGCAGTTTATTGTTTCCCTGCCTTTCAGGCAGATGCACCCTAACTTTAGTAAAGTGATAGATTTGTTTCAATCCTAGGTGAAAATAAAACCATAAACTGCAGTCTGTGGCCAAACAGCCCTAAATTGTCAGGCTCAGTATCTCCCTGTGCTACACAGCCATAAACAGTGGTACATACAGACAGCACAGACAGTTTAATGCTTAGTTGATTTTGTGATTTGTGTTTCACCAATAGGAGATGACGGTACATCAAAGGAAGTAACCACTGGAGTGTTGATGAAAGAGTCTGAAAATGTGTATGCCTTGTGGTGCAGTGGTCGCACCTGTGTGGAAGGCATGCTGGTTGAGTTGAAACTTCTCAAGCGACAGGATCTCATTAATCTGTTACTGCGGATATTCAAACCAGCATCAGATCAAGTGGTGAGATACCCAGACACATAGGAAACATTTGTATCTGTCCAAATGTCACATTAATTAACTCTTTTAAGTCACAGGCAACTATTTTGAGGGGGTCCTTACAAATAGTAACATTGTAATGTAGTTTGCATGGCTCTGTGGCTTAGCGTTCAGTAAATATGTTTTACATTCTTCATTATACTGGGGTTTAGTTTCTGCAGAAGGCGGTTTAGAAAAACTGTACTCGTGGCTTTCAGATAGTGATACGAGAGTCACACTGTGAAAAAAAAAAGATTGGGGCCTCAGCACCTAATATTCATAAAGCCAGATGTGGATGTATCCATTGCATCTAGCCTCCGGTTGAGAGATGTCATCAATTTAATTTAATTAAAAAGCCTACCACACATATATATATAGTCAGGAGAGCACAGTGATGCATGGTATAGTTCCAGAAAAAAAACGAGGCAGAGGTGAATGTTGGCAACAGTGGATACAAGACATTGAAGATGTATTGGTTATGAAAGCACATAGGGCTAGGGATGGCTAGATAAACATATACCTACAGTTGTGCCGTGACGAGAGCAAGGTTCTGTAAAGGATCTACTGATTGTTAGTAATGTAGTCAGTAAGAGTTAATAATTATTGGCATAAGACTAGCTACCTTATCTGTTGAATATTTTTGTTGTAAATTCCAGTGAGTATTGATCAAGCCTACAGTTGGCTTGAATTATTTGAGGGCTAATGTTCCGTTGAAAGAATATTGACTTGGGAAAAAAAAAGTTGAGAATTTGAGATGCACTTGTACATTTGAAATTGTGTGTGGTGATGCATTTGTTTTATATTTCAGATTGTTAAAGTTGAGCTAGAGGAAGGAAAGGTGGATGGGTTTGTGTTTTGTATTGCCCAGAAGCGATCTGCTGCTAAGCTTCACAAAGACATGACTGATTTGGTAAGTTGGCATTATGTTCCAGCTTTGTTGTCTTCTGACTGTAGATGCACAGTCTGGCAATTTAATAATGAGACAAGACTTCCTTATGGCTGAGACAAAGCATGTCATCCAAACAGGCACCATTTATTTATGATTTGGCCAAAGGTAGGGGAATGGCACCAGCCCGGAAGGGCTGGGTTTGTGGCCTCTTGGGGTGACAGGGTTAGACATTCTTTAAAGCCTTGTATTGTCAGTATAATTTCTGAGTGTTTTTTTAAAATCTCGGATGAAATAATTTTAATTCTTACAGAAGTAAGTTGGGAAGCAAGTAACACAAGCTATGTTAATGTTGAGAGGTTAGCAAATGTTACACATGTTGCGGAAGGAAATAAAAAAGAAACAAATACACTATTTTGGCCATATAAAAAGACTGTAGCAGTTATTAAAACCATACTGAAGAGAAGAGGCAAGTGAATAAGAGGCAGACATTGATACAAAAGGGAGATAGCATCAAGAGATTGGCGAACAGACATATAAAAGTGTACATTCAGGAGGAAAGTCATAGAAATTTGGAGAACCATTGCAGTCACCCTTCATTGTGGAGATGGCACCTGATTGATTGAGAGGATAGAAACTCACTAACTAGGAAATATTCTTGATTTGACGTTAGTGTTGTGACACATAGAAGATGATCACTTAACATGGATCATTAACCCCATGATAAAACATTTAAATTAGTTTATTGGCCTCTTTCTTGAACAGAGTCAGTTTACTGAAAAGAAAAGCCTGGAGAAATTTGATGTGCCCGCTTCCTACCAACTTTTGTCTGAGATAGGAGAGGGAACTGCTGCTGTGCTTGATAAACGGGTAAGTAAAGATATCCTTTGTTCAGTGGTTAGAGTCCTTTGGATATTTTCTCTGAGTTATTTGGGTGTGTTGGGAAAGGAACGGGCAGACAGATTGGCTGAAGCTGCAGCAGATGGTGGTAAATTGATGCATTTCAAGCTAAATGTGGTTAAGCCTTTTGGCAGCCAATGAATAGGACACACAATTAGATCATCATGGTCTGGAAAGAGTGGTTCAGAGGAAGTGACCAGGGAATCTGGCCAACACTGGTCTCATGGGAAAGTCAAGATGGATGTATAATCAGACTGCTTCTGGTGCTGTTGGAATACTGCTGAAGATGGGGAAGCAGTGTGTGTGGGAATGTCCTAAATTCTCTGATGTTGGTTGTTGACAGCTTAACATTGATTGATCCTTCAGCAGTTTTCATGCGTTGTCGTTTCCAGAATGGTTTTAATGTCCTGCGTGCACAGTATTGCGTTCGTCAGTCCTAGATTCATCTCCCATCAACCAAATGTCCCATTACTGCTTTTCTTAAACCATTATCACGTTTGCTGTAGTTTAAATTTTTTAGTTTCTTTTTTTTAAAAAAAGTTCTTGTTGTTCATCGACATTTTGACTATGGTCTTATTCTAGAGCTTGATTTGTGTGCACATCCATTTTATGGATCTAGCTTATTTGTGTGCAGATTGTTGGTTCCTTGCCTCTCAGGCTGACACACTTTGACTTTGAAGGAAACACCCCTGATTTGTTGCCTTTTATGACATGCTTGTTGGATGGGCAGTGTGTCACTTCTTTTCCCCCAAAATAATGCCAGGGAATTCACACTTGAAATTTTGTTTCTGAATCATGATACTGGTTATAAACCAGTTTTTTTTTAATGTCCCTATCTAGGAATCTAGCTGTTACCTAAGTTGAAAAACATACTTTCTTCTTCTTTGTTTGTGAAACGATCCATCTTTCTCATCCATATTTTGACAGAAAAGTTTCTCAAAACTTTAATGCTTGAGCAAAAGGCAATAGGAGAGAATAGGGTTTCAGAACTACTGTGCTTGCAAAAAGGGCAGCAAAAAGTATTGTTTATAAAGAAACTTGAAAGAGCTTGTTTTTGAGAAGACTGCAGAGAATATGGAATGATAGAAAAACAATTTTTGACGTCCTCGAATTAGACAAATGCCATAAAATGATTAGAACAGTTAGTCTACCCCCTCCCCCTTTCCAAGACATGTTACAAAAGAAATGGACTCAAGAACTTGGTAACAGCTGGCAAGGTTGGGGGAAAGAAAACAAGAGGAAGGTTATAATTATTTGCGTATCCTTTAGAGGACGTTACAGACCCAACCCCAGCATTGTTTGGCTAATGTGGTTTTTCTAGACACATTTTACGTTAATTAGTTTGCCATTGCTTTTTGAACGGTCAGCTGTCGAAACCAACGCAAGTCGTTCTGCCTGCTGCTAAACTACCTGCAGCTGGGATCGACCCCGGCATTAAGAAGCACGTTTGCAGTGCCACCCCAGAGAAAGGTGGAGAAATAAATATTTGGGTAGCTTACCAAGGCACATACACTGATAGGAAGGCACATAGACACTGACCTAATCCGTGATTCTGGTGATGGTGGGAAATACTCAGACATGACAGCTGGTGCTTACCGGCACGACACATGATTTTAATGAAAGAGGCGGGGGGCGCTCGAACTGTAATTGAGATTAGGATAAGCAGAGTTAGAATGTTGACTAGATTTCCTCTTTTCTGTGTTCACCTTTAAAAGGATTGCTGACACATTGTGTTGTTTACAGCCAGAGTGTAATTTCTGCACGTTTAAACCGATTGCATTTAATTTCAAGAAACCCATAGATACTTTTTACAAGATGCTTGTTATTGGACAGTAGGTCTGTTGGTTTCTTCCCCTCCCCAGAATTAAGGGCTTGCTGAAATTTAATGTATTTGGCCAAAAGGTACGGATATGACATACTAGCTGTGAACCACAATGCAGCATACCAGCCATCCCTTTAAAATTGATCACTCAAGAGGAAGAAGATTTATTTTGTTTTGATTGTTGCAAAATGTGACTCCTAATGTTTTTACTGCTACGACATATCATGCTCTTTACATTTTGATTGTTAATGTTAGCAACAATCAAGACACAAGGTATCTGATATGTCATAACATATAAGATTCCTTATGCTTTTATGGCTACAGAATATGAGATTTCCTATTATTTTTACTATGACATATCAGATACCTTAAGTTTTGATTGGTGCCACACACGAGACTCCTCATGGTGTTACTGTTACAACATATCAGGTTCAGTGTTTTGCTGATTGCAGAATATCACCTCTATCAACCTTTCTCCTGCAGGTGTGTCAGATGTTGACCAGGTATGAAGGAGTCATCGAGTATATTCATGTTTCCGACCAGTACTCTGGTGTCAAAATTCAAGAGTAAGTCCATTGTCAGCATGTAGTTATTTTTCCATCTTTATTGAGTATCTTTTGAACTGGTATGAGTAATCTTGCTTTTCCACAGCTGAAGAGCTCCAGTAGGAGCCATCATTTTGTGTGTTGGCACCTTTAGGAGGGGGGGGGGGGGGGGGTTGCAATAGCGTAGTTCCTAGACGCTGACCTGAAGGTTTTAGATTCATATTTGCACTCAAGAGGATTTCCCCCAAAAATAACCCTAGCCTTCAGGTTGGCATAGCCTAATATTGGTGCCAGGTAATGTCCTAGGGGGTAAAGGCAACCAGCAGGATGTGATTACATTACATCCACCATCTGTATGCTGATTGGTCTGTTAAAAGTCTAGCGTCATATGCCAGATGCACCCTGATGGGAAAAGGGAATTCCCCCCCCCCCCCCCCCCTTTCTGCCATGGTAATCAAATATTTTTCTCTTTCTTTCCATATATCTTTCCACTTGTCACATATTGCAGTTTTTATCTTCTCTTAATGTCACCAAATTTAAGACTGCCTATTTCTGATGTTTGTCTTTCAAAAAATGTAATATTTAATACAGCAAAAACTGTAAATACAAAGCTCAGGGAAGGGAATGGAAGCGACACACACAAATATGATCAAACATTTATACCAAAGTCTCTATCAATGGAGAAATAAATACAACATAGACAGTCACTAGAAAACACAGTGAACAAAACAGCAGAGCTTATAAACAGCCCGGGTCAACATGAAACCAGAAACATTGAGTTGTATTTGTGTGCATCTTTTCCATTCCCTCTGTTGAGCTTTCTAGTCACTATGTATATTGTGTCGGAACATCTTGATATCAGCTCGACTGCAGTCACTCTTTCTGTCTGCTTCACAACTCTTCGACTGCTGATGTTGGCATTACAAAATGTTTCCATGTTACTGCTGTTTAAATGGCTAGCATGGTGTGTTTTATAAGTTACTCTTTATTTCGTTAAGGCTGCTCTTGTTGATGCTTTCGTTACATACTTTGTGTGATCATTCTCTAGACTTGTGTTCTTTAAATGTCTTATTTGTTGCTGTCTGTGGTAGTTTAGTTGGTACCACAGCATTTTCATCAAAACCATCTGTTGCTCTTTAATGAATTGTATGACTATATTTCTTCTAATTTCTTCAATTAATTTTGTCTCCCTTTGTTGCTTTGGCAGCTCTTCTAAGTTATGCTACTTATTTTTCCTTTGGTCTAATTGAATATAAACATAAGCCATTTTTCGCTCTTACTGTAGTATGTAGTTGGAGTGGAAGTCATCTGTAGTTACCTTTGCACATTTTTTGACAAATTATTTTTGTACTTTTTTCTTTGTTGTGGTCCCTACTTATCACCTAATATTATTACATTTGCTGTTTATTTAGAGATAATCAGCAAACAAAAATGCCAGAGACTAAGCCTTGTCTGTTGTTCTGCTTTACAAGTAAGTTTTCTAACTGTACTTTACATATTTACAATATATCATTTTAGTATACTCACAACTAGTGGTGAGTAGTATTTGTTACATTATTAATTGTGAATAATTATTGTGTATTAGGCTAGAATGTTATGATGAATTAGTTTGTTGAGCTTAGTAAATTGAATGCTTTGGTAACCTATGGGTTTTTGACACTTCTGTGATTTATACTGATAAAATTGTATTATAGTAAATTATCATTTTCTCATAAATGCATCTATTAAGAAAAAGGTGAACTTTTTGTTGTTGTTGCTGTAAAAATAATTTAGACAAATGTAAGACAAAATATGTGTATCATGCAGTGCTTTTTCCTTCTGTCTTTAAAATTCAATGTAATTTTTTCTCTGTTTCTTTATTTTAAAATCTGGCTGACATAAAATATATTTGTTGCTTTGAATTTTTGAAATGGTAATATGCAGTGGTCGGGTAGTTGTCTGCTGGCTGGCCAAGTGGTTAAAGCACTAGGTTCACATGTGGGAGATCTGGCGATCGGTCCTCAGTAAGGAATGTTTTTTCCTGTCGGGGCAAGAAAAAAATCAACATCTGCACAGTTCGTGGTGATTGCACTAGCCATAGAGCTTTAAATATTTAGGCTCGTGGCACCTCTTTTCTGCTTCTTCTTCTTCTTCTTCTTCTACTCTTCCTCTTTTGAGAAGAATGCAGAAATGTTCATGGAAGGATACAAAAACAAATGATGATGTAGATTGTTTGTCCACTTCTGGTCTTTACTCTTGTTCCAGGACTTGAGTGTTATGTGCAAATCTGTTTTAGAGATCTGGCTTATTTGTATGCAGACTGTTGGTTCATTGCCTTTCAGGCAGATGTCTCTGACTTCAAAGGAAGCCCCTAATCAGTCGACTCTTATGAAATGCTTGTTAGGAAGGCACTGGATCTGTTCTTGTGGGCTTCGGAACCCACATATGGATTGTGTGTGACATAAACTAATAAAGAGGTGCTGCGGTTTAGTATGTTTAGGATTAAAGTTAGTTGCATATTCTTTACAGGACTTTGCAGAACCAACCCCAGCATTTTTTTCCTGTTGCAGTTTTTCTAAGCAGAGTTTACATTCAGTAGTTTGCCATTGCTTTCTCAATGGTAATTTCTCATTAACTCTGTCAAAACCAATGCAAGACGGTCTACTGCCAAATCGTCTGTAGCTGGGATCAAACCTGGCATTACGAAGCACGTTGGCAGCGCCTAAGCTACGGACACCAACATATTTAGGGTAACAGTAATAAAAATGGTATTGTCTTAACAAAGAAGGTTGGATGCAATGTATACCTTGCTGACTTTGGGAATACTACTTGGTAAGATCAGTCTCTTCCACGGTGCAACTCTCATGCCACTTCCTGAAAGCCACAAGAACTATCTTTTTCTAAGTAACCCATGGAAACGTCAAGAATTGCACTGTGAAATGATTTCACTCAGCTCAAGACTATAAAGCAACACATGTTTAGACTAATTAAAGTACAGACTTGAGGACCATATGGCACATAAACAAGCACACTGGTGTCAGATGAGCAAGGGAGGTAGATACCTCATCTGCTGTTTAACTTGTATTGATTGGTAGTTTGCAGCAACATTCCTGTGTTTTCAATGCTGGATAAGATATTGTTCATGTGTGCTACTACTCAGCATTCACCAGCTCTAAAATTTGGTAGGAGAGGACTGGTTGTTCGTTTACTTCTGGAATTTGGCCTTTTTCCAGGTCTTGTGTTTGTGTGCATACCTGTTTTATGAAGCTGACTTATTAATGTGCAGACTGTTGGTTACTTATCTATCAGGCAGATGCAATCACATTTTGAAAGAAACACCCTTGGCTAGTCATCTCCTACAACATACTGGGGTATGGGGAAGTCCTGTTCATGTGTACTGATCGACAAAAACTTCTTCTTCTGCATGTCACATAATGCTGGTGTCACATGTCTTTGTTTCTGTTAGGGTTTTTCCTAATGAACCAAAAGACACTCTGAAGTAGTTTTAGTGTTGAGATGTTGGCTCACAGCGATCTAGGCGGTATCCCGCAGCTCCAATGAACATCCAACCTGCTTCAGCGGGGAGGCCACTCAAATCATGTCACATTAGAATCAGTTAACATTCATTCCTAGATGCAACTAAGACTGACTTCCACACTACTTTTAAGCCCCCCCAGACTAGATAGTAATGATGCTTATCACATTAACACAGTATAACATGAAGTATAACAACAGATACTCCAGACAACTTGAGAAGTATGAAGGATGGACACTGACCACAGAATATCATGGCTCAGCATTCACAGAAACACAGAAATAACTGTCTATTAAATCACATAAAGGACTTCTGGGTTGTAGAGACAAGCTGATGGTGACCATCACAGGACCACAGACAGTTGCCTCATTTACATAGAGGTGTCAAGATGTGGGCAGGTCCATGACCAGAGGGGTGTGGGCTGCACTCTTAAAGGGCCTTGGTCACTTTGTGTTGTGTTTCAAGGCTGTGCTTTCTGCACCTTTCAGCCCAAGCTTCTCATATTAGCAAAACCTTAAATATATCCCTCTGACAACTGTTTGTCTAACACATGTCCCTCTAACAACTGTTTGTCTAACACATGTCCCTCTGACAACTGTTTGTCTAACACATGTCCCTCTGACAACTGTTTGTCTAACACATGTCCCTCTGACAACTGTTTGTCTAACACATGTCCCTCTGACAACTGTTTGTCTAACACATGTCCCTCTGACAACTGTTTGTCTAACACATGTCCCTCTGACAACTGTTTGTCTAACACATGTCCCTCTAACAAGTTATACTCTAATGAAGCATCCCTCCAGTAATGTCCCTGTATGAAGTGACCCTCAGATAATTGTCCCTTCACAAGTGTTCCCTTACAAGTGGTGTATCACCAAATGTGTCCTGGTTGTGTAAAAGGTCAACACAGTACCCCTAGAGAGCCAGTTGCCACACAGTACCCGAGCTAAGAACCTGTCAGAGATCTTTTGGCAAAGCCTTTAGTACTGAAATCCATAAGGCATTACACAGTTTTTGCTTGATTTAAAAGAAGAAAAAAATTATCAGTTGATTCTAAATTCAGATGTGTTGTTTTTCCCCCCTTTCTTTTTCCAGTCTCAGGAAAAGGTAAGACAAGGGTGTCAGACATGGAGAATCTGAAACCATTGATGCAGTTGGTATTTTACTGCATAGACAAGTTGTCTCGCTTCCAGCTGAGTAAAGAGGTGAACTTTCTGCCTTGTGTTTTAGTTAGTTAACCAGCATGCTACATTTAGTTGCTTGTCTGATATTATTTGTTGTATCTGTTCTAACTTGTAGCACGAAACCTTATCAAAATGTTACTGCTTTGTTACTACAAAGTCTGAGAGACAGGGTTCTACAAAGATCTTTTTACCCATTACCGATACTGACAATGGGGACTGGAAAGCAAGAATAACATTCATAATCTATTTTAAATCACCACTAATTAATTACTGACAGCTTATCAGGATAATAAGATTAATAGTTATGCCATAGACCGTGTTGTGTGGAAAGGTCATATCGGGAAGGGAATGAGAGTGAAGGAAGAAATGATTGCGGAAAGGATGAGAGCCGAGCATTTGAAAAAAAAATGGGTTAAACACAAATGTTAAAAACAGTGGTCCTGAAATCCCATGCTATCATTGTGGAAGAATTGTCTTGACACAGACGGGTATTGCTAGTCACACTCGCCATCGCCATAAGCTGTGAGTCCTGTGCCTCCTCATAGTGCTATATAACACAATCGTCTGGAAAGACGGAAAGGTGCTAATCTATCAGTTATGTGTCCCAATGTCAAATGCAATTTGTGTTGTTTAAAAGCTCCGCCCTGTCTGTTGCTGGGAACCCTAATATATCCCAATGTATGTGTTGAACAAGGTATCTGGAACTTGTCCCCAGGTGATCCTCATCCGAATGGTGGAACTTTGCATGACCACGTGTTTATTGCTCGGTGAGATTAAACATTAATCACTCAGCCATGATAAAGAAGCTACTTATCACAGAGCAGAAGATGCAGCAATTACGACCCACTCAAAGGGGGAACCGCAATGTTTACTATCTGTAAATGCAGACCTCTACCTCAGTATAAAGATACACAAGTGGGTCATGAATGATACAGGCAGATTCATAACAACAAAAAAGGCTTGGACCATGTTGCGTGGAGGGGGCACACCAGGAAGGGAATCAGAATAAAGCACATGTGTGCTGAGTGATTCTTTGATCATGATCTGGCGGGTCGAGGCAGGCTGGTTACGCAGACAGTGGCATGAGTCATTGCAAAATTCTGCTGTGTGTGCAGTTACTTTCATATTCGTCCCAGGGCATGCAGGCGTTGTTGGTAATGAGAGAGCTGATAGACTGGCAGTTGTTGCAATAATTGAAGATGGCCGGCCCATGGATCACGCAGACATTGTCATTGCCCTCAGAGAGATAGGATGTTCTGAGGATTTTGGAAGCAACGTGTCCACATCACTGCTAAAAATACACGAATTGAGAGTAAAGATCCGCACAGCCAAGCATGAGAAGCACACCAGATGCATGCGAAGTTAGCCAACATAGGACTGGTACTATTAAGCACACAACACTGATTAATATGTTGAGAGGGGAATCTGAGCGCCTAGGGATGTGTCTGAAGTGATGTGAAGATAATTTAATTCATAACTCATAACAGCGAGAGTTCCTTGTTTAAAAAAATTAACGGTTGTCTCTTTTCTTGTGTTGTCATCACTCACTTGCCTGATTATTTTCACGTTGTGCTACTTCTACAACAGTTCGGTAGTATGGAAACTGCGATGTTTTCTTACATTTCTTGTCAGTGGCTTCTTTTCTGAAGGGGAGGAACCCCGCCAAAGAATGTTGAATTACAAAAACACCCTGGTTTGGATACTCACGAACAGTCCTAATCCTCTGTTTTAGAATGGAAGATCCAGAATATGGTCTCCCAATTTATCTGGATAACAATCTACATTTAAAAGAAAGGGCAGGTGGACATAGAATGACACTACTACTGGTACCATAAGCAATGGAACTTATCACTGGCTGCTGAAGATTGGGATGGAGTGCTTATGGGAATGTTGTGATGTTAGTGTTTTGATTTCTATTAGCCAGAAAACATGTGCCCTGTTTTGTCATCTTTAGGCTAGAATGAAATCTGAGAAGAACCGTCAGAAAGCTGAAGAACAATTTTTGAAGGCGGCTCACACTCAGAGACAAGAATTGGCCCAGCAGAGACGGGAGGAGAAGAAAAGGGCGGAGAAAGAGAAGCTGATGGCAGAGGAGGATCCAGATAGGGCCCGAAAACTTGAGGTGATTGCTTTTTTTTTCTCTCTGTTTTGTTTTTCATATTGTTCTGTGTCATTCTTTTATGTTTGGTTTCTTTGGTTACGTTTTACAATAAACTGTTAAAGGATATAAACTTCAGTGACTGTAAGGTCCAGTGACTTTACAAATGGCTATTGTCTACATTTTTTGTTTTATTGCTATAATAAATCTGCAGTTGGTACCATCGACATTGGAACTCTTTGCTGGCTGCTGAAGATGTGGATGGGATACTTATAAGAATGTCCTGAGTGTTCTTAACTTATTTTATTCAGTCTGTAGTAAGGTACTGAAGATTATTTCGCAAATTCCATGTTTCGGTCGGGTGGTGGGATATGTTCCCTCTACCCTTCCCAACAAGCGTGTCTTAAAATGTGACCAATTATTTTTTGGGTTTGTTGAAATTAGATTATTGAGCAAAAAATCTGCAGGTAAACCACAACCTAATGTGTCAGCTGCCATTTCAAGGTCAAATGCAGAAAGCAGTCTAAAAAATTACCATAAAGGAAATATTTTGAAGCAGAAAAGATGTGATTTCTGAGACACATGGTGACAAGGGCGACCCTCTCTTGTATCCGTTAGCATTGCTAGTGAAAGGATCTGGGCCTCATCTGAAGGCCAGGCCAGCTCAGTTCCACTGTCTTCCTGTTATTGAGCTGTGTGGACTTAAGTGCTAGATTCATCAATGCCAGTCCTGGGTTTCATTTCTAGAAGTTGTAGAATTTTTACCTGTTTGAACAAAGAAGACATAAACACTTGATTAAACAGTTTATTACCTGGCAAAAATCACTGTATTTTTATGATACATAATAAGTAACATTCAAATGAAGTAAAGCAAATAAATGAATCTTTTCAACTGAAACACAAAATCAACCACACTCAAAAGTAACTGCCTCTTTTGCCAGGACAGATTCACAATCATGTCTTTTTGTCTGCACAAATGTAGGCATACATTATTGGTCAACATATGCAGAGTTCAGAATGTGTAATCCTTGTTTACAATCAGTGCTTTGGGAATTATGCAAGGTGTAGGAAGCATTTCTTCCCTTAAAGTTTTTTTTTCTAGTTGGGCTTTTTATCTCCAGTGGTAGTAAGATCCTAACCTGAAATGTTCAGGGGGACTGCATTAGCCAGGCGACTTTAAATATCCCAACCAATTTATGCAGTGTCCTGTCTTCTTCTTCTGCACCCTCTTGGTGCTCACCAGCTTTAATCTTCAAAAGTTCTGGTTGTTCATCCTTTTCTAGACTTAGTCTTGTTTTTGAGGTTTGCGTGCACGTCCATTTACAGACAGATTTATTTGTGTGCAGACTGTTGGTTCCTCCATTCTTTGGCAGATGTGCTCCATTTTCAAAGAAAATACCCCTAATTAATTGCTTTTGCAATATGCTTGTTAGGATAGTGGTGGGTCTATTCTTTGATCCTCAAAAACAGGACCCGGTTACCCACAAAGGGAGTACTTTGCTGATAGGATTTTGCAGCTACAGTTTTTCTGTACATTTGGTTTTTGACTCATGTCTTTCAGTATTTGAGTGCAGATGTATAGGAGATTTTGGGGTCATTGTTGGAACTTTAGAAGCTCCATGTCTGTGCACGCTGCCAGGATCCAGCAGCTGCTTTGTAGTAGAAGACTGACTGTGTAGGATAAAATCTGGTGTTATGAAGTTAACTCTCTCGCCTTGTGTAGTCATAATCATATTTAGCGGGAGTACCACGAAGATAGGGAATTTAGCAATTAATTAAGGATAATGCTCGCTTGGGTGATGTGGTACAGATGGTTTAGTGTCAAGAGGCAAAAGAAGTGCCTAGGGGTTCTTAGCAAAAAACTAATGGTCGTCGTTTGGTGCAGGAGAGTCAAACATATGATACCTCAACATCCAGCTTAAGGATATAGGTGAAGGTGGTCACTACAGCTTCCCACTGGCCAGAGAAGATGATGCATACATATCATGATTGTAACTACTCAGAAAGCATGCTAAGGAAGACTGGGACAGGCATGCTTGGAGCAGAATGGCATGCTTAACTTCAGAGGTCAAGGAGGAAGAGCATTGTCCGGATCTTTTCTCTGGAGTATGCTGATGTTTTGGGAAATTAATGAGCAGACAGTTTGGCTGGCTCTGCTCAACTTGGTGGAATATTGATGCATGACAAGGCAAACGTGGTTAAGGCCTTATGGGAACACATGTACAATTTGGAACAGCAAAGTGATTATTATAGTCTCTGGTCAGAATGATGCAGCTGGGAGTAACGAGGGGCTCTGGCCGATGCTCGATACTCAGAGGAAAGGCAAGAGGGACATATAATCAGATTGGTATTGGAACTACATGTTGGCTGCTGAAGATGGGCATGGAGCACTTATGGGAATGCCCTGAGTGCTGTGATATCAGTTCTCCAATCTAATCAAATCAAATCTGTAACCGCCTTTAAACACGTTTGAAGTCTTTCAATACCAGAAGCTTTCATGTGAGATGTTCAAGTGAAGACATAATCATGATGGAAAATCATGAATGCATTACTTTCACATGGATATAGTGATCATTGGGGGAAGTCAGATTTCTTTAGTGTGTTGTGGCCAAATATTAAAAGTAAGAGAGCACATTATTTTGTGGAGGGAAGTCAAGGTAAAGAATCACTCACATACCAAGCATTGCTTGGGACTTGAGGAGTTAAAACTCGTTTGTACTAATTCTATGGATTGGGCATCCTTGTGTGTGTTCCAGTGCCCCATGTGTAGGGAAAAAAGAATGAACCCATAGCCCCTTAACAAGCATGTTTAACCAGGTTACCAATTAAAGACTTGCTGAAATTGGATGGGTTGAGCTGAAAGGAGCAGATATTGCAGCCTAGCTGTAAACCACAACACAATGTGCCGACTGCCTTTTTTTTTTTTAAAAGGGCAAACAACGGTGAAGAAGAAAAAGATGTGTAAGATTGCACATTTGTAAAACCACACACAAAATTATCTGGACATACTTTCCTTACAATCTTGCTGACATGTATATTAGCTTGCTTTAACTTTATTGTATATTTGTGACATTAACAAACTGAACATATTTCATCATTTGAAACTTAAACAGGATCGTGAAACTCGACGGGAGTCCAGGAAAAAGCAGCCGAAGATGAAAATGATGAAGGCTTGCTGAAGTTGGATGGGTGGAGCCGAAAGGAGCAGATATTGCAGTCTAGATGTAAACCACAACACAATGTGCCAGCCGCCCCTTTTTTTTAAGGCAAACAGATGTAAAGAAGAGAAAGATGTATAAGACAGTAAATGCTTGGTGCAATAAGACCTATCTGTAAAACCACAAAAATATGATCTTAACAAACTTTCCTAAGAATGTCTTGCTGACATGTATATTAGCTTGCTTCAACTTTTTTATACATTTGTGACGTTAACAAACTGAACATATTTAATCATTTAAAACTTATACAGGATCGTGAAACTCGACGGGAGTCCAAGAAAAAGCAGCCGAAGATGAAAATGATGAAAATTAAAGCTATGTGAGAAGCTTGCAGATTGCTGTAGTCGGAATGACACATGCAACATGGGATCTCTCATACTTCTTCCTCATCTTCTGCTTTTTCATTTTGAAATACATGTTTAGTTAACGTAAAAGATAATCTGTTTGATATTAGCCAGATTTTTTCTCAATGTTGTTGGTTTTGTATGGAACCAAAAACACAATCAAATTTTTACTATAAACATATGTACTTGCCACGTTGAATAAATGCATATCTTTCTCAACAGTATCATTATTTTGGTTTCATTATATACAAATTATTAATTAATGCTGCGGTCACATGTGTTGCATCTAGACTGCTGCTGTGTCAATGCCAGATATCACCACCTTGTTATATGCCTCTCAGTCTTCTTTTCTAATTTTATCAGTGACATATCTTTTGATTATAGTAAACTGTTTGTTTGACTATAACATATGATACAAAGCCACCGCTTTCAGGCATATTGAGGTAATAATACACTGTAGCTGAATCAGTAATGACAAAATAACTTTGTATGAATTAACCACCATTCATCCTGTTGGGCCATTATGTGTCACATAGAGCTCACTTGCATCCTCTTTCTCTATTCCTTTGTATTTAGTGCAATCCTTTTAGTATCATGGATGGAATGCATTCTTGTACCTATTCATTAATACGTGACTGTAATCTGCATATGTCTGTTTGTCAACTAGTTGTGTTTACATCAAAGAGTCTGTTGGGTTTTACAGTGTGGCAGATTAAAGAAATATGACGATCCAAAATCATTAGACCAGGCAGCAAGTTAGCACAATTATAGCAAAGGACGTTATTAAAAGACAGTGTGTTATATGGTTTGGTTAAATAGCAGAGACCACTTTCAGTTAGCAAAATGCAACTGGCATTTGGCATTGCATTTTGATATGACAAAAATAGCGCAAAGGGAAGTCCTGAAAGCAATGGTTCAGTTTCCTATGTGGGTTCCAGGGGCATATTTTGAGAGAAAAAAAACAGACCAAATGCGCGCGCACAACCCCCCCCCCCCCCCACCCCCCATTTCCCCCTCCCAACAAACCTGTTGTAAAAGGCAGCTAATTGAGGAGTCTTCCCTTCAAAGTCGGAGTGCATCTGCCTGAGATGTGAGGAACCTGCAGACTGGGCCTACTGATTTCCATGCTTTTCTTCTCTACACATCTTAAAATCTCTCTTCCTACAAGAGTTCCTATTCCTTTCTCCAAGCTTCAGTGCCTCATTAGACTGTCATAAGAGCAAGGACTTCTGCAATAGGGCCCTGGAATTGCTGGAATTCTTCCGGCTTCGAGGTTACTCTGAACCCGTCTTATCTGCTGCCTTTCACTGATCACGATCTGTCAGTCATTGAGGCCCTCATTTTCAAGCCTAAACGTCACCTTGGCAGACCTATCCTCTCACTTACCTACCACTCTCACATCTGTGCCAAATAAATTCTTCTCAGGCATCTCTCTATCCTCATGCTACCAGCATGATTTTCTCTGATCTTCCACTAGTGGCCTACAAACATGACTCAAGTATGTTCTCGGCAAGAGTGGGTTACATCCCAGTTAGGCACGGTCTCCTGTCACAGACGTGTATGCAAGACTTGCCCATATGTGGTTCAGAGACCTTCCACATGCGTGAGGCATTTTATTGTATGAGCCACAATGTCTTTTAGGCCATCAGCTACTAACAAGAAATGTGACATGGCCTGTAGCAGTGAAATGGGTCTGCAACTAGCTGAAAAGTTCAGACATCTTTTGGATGCTCAGAATTTTACCCTGAAACCAGTACTGTTGCACTTGATTTCTCAGAATCACCAAGGTGTCAGTGACTTGGAAGTGACGGCCATTAAATCTAGCCACTCCAGCGACCGAGCTCCTAAGTCTCTTGAGAAAAACTTTATTTTTACCTTAGGTAGGCAAACACCTAGGTGACTGAACTGTCAACACAGTTTCATCTAAAATCCTCTTCATGTTATTTGTGCGACATTTAGAATACTGGATTTGAATATCTCCCATTCTTTTTCTACTGTCATCCTCTCTAAGCTTACTAATGATACATAAAATAAAAATTTGCAGATCTGTTTGTCTTGTTCTTCACTTCCATTTTTACCACCAGGTGTCGGGGAAAGTATAAGCTTCTGCTTCTTGCTTGTCTGGCTGCCTCGGCCACAGATGCATTGCTCTGTTATCTTCACATCTTGTTCTTGGAATGAGTATGCTTTGTGTGAAATGTTTCTTTGTGCGGACTGTGATTGTCTTATGTTGTAAAAATGGCAAGCTGTGCTGTCGCAATTCTTGGTTTGTTTTACTGTATCTTTTTGTAATCTCTTTTTTTTATGTGACACTGCATAGGGCCTTTGTAATTCCCATGATTTTTTTTTTTTAAATGTGTGGCTATATGGAGTCTTAGCTGCTACTGAGAACTACTGCTATATGGTATAGAATACTTGGAGGGTCTTTTTCTTTGAAGCAGCATTTAAAAAAAAATAGAGTATAAGAAGCATATAAGTTTTTTAAGGGTAATTTTAACATCAGAATTAGATAATTCATAGGTGTAGTTAATGCTGGATTGTTTTATGTTGTAGTTTTATAGCTAGTGCTCTTGCTTGTCAGCAGGGTTGGCTATTTCAGTGTCCTTGTAGTGGCTGCATTGGAAATGTCCTGACAAGAGAAGTTTACCCAGCCGTGTAAAGTGGATACCAATCTGTTAGATGGGACTAAGAAGATCAGTGGCAATATTTTATTGGTCACACCCTCATGAGAAGTGAACAGAAAATCACCAGACAGGCACTTAAATGGGAAACAAATGGATTGAAGAAATGAGGACATTAATAAAAAAAAAAAAAAACCTAAGACAGATGTTGATGACTGAGGCCAGAGTTGCTGAACTAGATTTCCATCTGTGAGACTGAAACAGTTGCACAAGATAGAATAGAAAAGACGAGTAAACTTTGAGCCCTGTGCATAACGGCACAACATGATGATGATGATGACGACGAAGGTAAAACAGTGTGGAAGGAAGCTGATCAACTGATATCATTATTCTGTGCTGTAGTGTTTACAAAGGCCTAGCACTTCTCACTCATCTGATAGTATCTAACTAGGTATGAGATTTGCTTTCATCACCTATACAATGTATATTGCCTGTTTATTTCCCCATGTTCTAGTTATCCACACAAAACAAGTTAGTTGCGCATCCTTTATAGCATCGATTCTCAGCCTATTGGTCACAACCCATCTGTGGGATCGAACAAGCCTTTCACAGCGGTTGCCTAAGACCATCGTAAAACACAAATTTCACTGAAGTTATGAAGTAGCAACGAAATTAATTTTATGGTTGGGGGTCACCACAACATAAGGAACTGCATTAAAGGGTCGCAGCATTAGGAAGTTTGAGAACCGCTGCTTTACAGGATGTTGCAGAACCCAGTCTAGCTTTTGTAGCTGTTTGATTTTGCTAGGAATTGTCATTGATCATTAGTTTGCTATCTGCTGTGGTGCAGTGGCTAGACACTCGCCTGTGGATTGGAAGGTCGTGAGTTCTGGCCCTGACAGAGAGAAACTTTAAAAAAAAAAAACTGGCTCCCAGGTCTTGAGTGAGTACCAGGTACAATCATGGGAAGTAAAGGTGCTGGTGTAATGCTGACCACATCACCCACCAATCGCTGATTGGTCTGTAAAAGATAGATGTAGCCCTAAATGTCCAATATGCATGAAGAAGTAGAAAAAGGCACCCTTTTTTTAAAATTAATTAGTTTGCCTTGCTTTCTGAACTCTTGGCTTGATACCACACTGCCAGAGTCAATGCAAAGCAGTCTGCTGTCAAACTGTTCACAGCAAAGATTAAACTGGGTAATCTGGAATTGCGAAGCACTTTAACCACATTTGAACCGCGGGCGTTATAGCCAGATGCTTATTTGCCGTCATCATTAAGTTCAAGACTTTATTTCTAACATATAACCAGCACTCTAAGCATGATGGGATGTGATATATGGGACCAGATAATTTTCTCTTTGCCAGTTTTTAGTGAGACTAGCAGCCTAACCTACAAGTGAACACTGTCTAGATCTGGCATCCGTCTGAACCATAAAATTTTGATCAGACTAAATTAATTTCATTCATTTTAATGTGTTGCACAGATCACTCTCATTGCACTTGTCGTGAATCCTCCCTCCTCCTTCTGGTGGAAAGTTCTTTTTGTTCATTCACTTCTAGACTTTAGTTTTGTTCCAGAACTTGAGTGCCATGTGTACATTCGTTTGACAAATCTGGCTTCTTTTTTATGCAGATGGTTGGTTTCTTGCCTCTCAGCAGATGCACTCCGACTTCAAAGCAAGCCCCCAATTATTTGACTCAATCAACATGATTTTTGATGGAAGCAGTGTACCTGTTCTCATGTCCCCACAGTGTAGCTAGCAGGAACCCACAAGTGGATGATGTCTTGAATTACATAAAAGTCTTTTATCACCCATTGGCTTTGCTGAGTCTTTTTCTGACTAGCATTTTTGTTGGTTCCTAGGTTCAGATTTGTAATCACAAGTGTAAATTTGTTCAAAGGGAAAAATAGTTTTCTGAATTTTGTGGGAAGAGTTTAGATCAGCCATTCTCAACCTATGGGTCACAACTCTTTCTTTGGGGTCGAACGATCC